CCCCCTCGACAACGTCTAACTGTTTATTCTATACGGTATCCGAGCAGCGAGTGTGGGAATCCATATTTTTAACCGGTTTGATCGTTTCCTATCGTCCCTCGAAATGTTCCTTTCACCGTTTAACGAAACTGCCACCGTGAAATTCGAATCGGGTCCCAGGCTCGTCAAATTGCGTGCACCGTAAGCTCCATTCAGCATTTCGTTCTTTCATTCATCGTTAAAAACAACGAGATTCTCGTACACTTCGTTTCCCAACTATCGCACAATTTAATCTTCCGATAGCGATATCGGTATCATTCTTTTTTTTTTTTTTTTTTTTTTTAGACGAGAAATCAATTGGACAAAACTATTTTAATTAAAATTTCTTCGTAAATGTATGTTATTAAATGACGTTTGAAAAATAGAACTAGTTTGTGTTCTTTTTTTCAGGTTAAGTCATTTACCGATAGACCGGTGTAGATAAGAGTAATAAATTATGATTTCACTAAGTAGAAGGTTAATCGACGCTACAATTCAATTTATAATATTTTTTGTCAGCTAACCTGAGAATTGTGGAGGAAATTCTCCGCAAGTGTCAGGTCCGCAAGGAACCTGACACTTGTAGAGTCAGGGACTACGTTTTCGAGCCTCGCGCCCGCCTTTGTAGTTTGCCGAACGTAGACAAGGACAGCGAATAAAAGATAAGGATGAAACGTGAGTCGAGGCAACCAAGCGATTTAAATACCAACTTTTTTAATTTTACGTTTTTTTATCCCGAAATTTTTCTTAACATATTGACGAGATTTTTCTGACGAAAATGACATCAAACACGACATAATTTGAACAACATTTACTTATTAACACGTTCACTGTCTGGCGTGACAGTGAATAAGTAAATGTTTGATATCATTTTCATCAGAAAAATCTCACCAACATATTAAAAAAACTTCCAGATGAAAAAAAGTAAAATTAAAGAAATTATATTTTTCTATTAGGAATTGTCGTGCCGTGAAATCTCGTAAAGGAAACCGACTCGTGTAGCGTTACACGCTTGACTGACAGCGAGCGAGATAACATAGGCGCAGCAATGACGCAGACCTAGGCGTAGGACCATCTATACTGACACTTGTAGAATCCAAACTGACTGACACTTGTACAGAATTTACTGCAATTCTCTAATTTTAGGAAGCAGTATTTTAAACTTCTTTTAATATCCTGTTTTAGAATTATTTATGTTTAATACCCCACCCAAGAATTTTAGGAAATTTCCTCCGTGTCACACATCGGGAATATATGAATTTTTTTTCTTACTTTAGTATGCTGAATCACAACGAGTTTTATATAAATTTTTTTTCTGATTTAAACCAAGCTACAATTCAATTTATAATATTTTTTGTCAGCTAACCTGTCGAATTAATTCTCTAATTTTAGGAAGCAGTATTTTCAACTTTTTTTAATATCCTGTTTTAGAATTATTTATGTTTAATACCCCACCTAAGAATTTTAGGAAATTTCCTCCGTGTCACACATCGGGAATATATGAATCTTTTTTCTTACTTTAGAGTGGTCAATCGTTTAGTATGCTAAAACACACAGAGACACCCTGTATTGTATCTATTATCAAAGGGTGTCTGTCACTGTACAATAATAAAATTTGGAAAAATTCAATATTTAATAAAATCGCAGATTACTATAAAAACGAGATATTTAAAAAATGTAACATATGGTGTAGGTTAAGTTCGCCGCCATGTTACGCGATTTGTCGTTCCGTTGTTCTCCTCGAGGTAGAGAGAACATCCCGCTTTTACGACCGACCGGACGATTCCACGGGAATATTACATCAGAGGTGTAATTTCCGCGAAGGGAGCCAGAAATCCGGAGCTTTTCGTGTCCTGTGTAGCGATGCTATCGACACATCATTCGCGTCCCTACGTTCTGGCTGCGGGCTCTTCGAAAGACCGGACATAAACAAGATCGTAAAATCTGGCTGGATCGACTCGCGTCGTTCCACGAACACGAATGCGACTCGTTCGTTCCGCGAACCTTCGATCTTGGCCAACGGTTAATTGCGTGTGGCCGTCGTCCCTTTGGCTCTCGTCGTTTTAGGTAAATTAAATTTCGTACGCGGAGGCATATGGACGGTGGAGGATCGATGGGGGTCGTTGGAAGCTTTGAATTTCTTCGAGAAATTAGAATCGATTTTACTTGGAAGTATGAAGATATATTCTAGGTAAAATGGAACCTAGCAAATTTGTAGAATATAAGAGGAAATTATGGAAATTGATGTCAGAAAAAGTTCATGTATTTGGAATTTTGGAAATCGTGTATTGCAATTTTATTATTTATCTTAGGAAAAATTGAATCTTCCTTTTCTTTCTGATTAAATGTCTTCGTGGAAACATTTTTTGCGTAGAAACTTGAACGTTGGAAAATTTAAATCTTGGAAATCTTCAGAATAAAAAGGGAAAGTACACGTAGGAACGTATTTTAAGAAAAATTGCATCTTCCATATTAGAATCGATTTTACTTAAGAAGTATGGACACATAGTTTGCATAAAATACAGTAAAAAAGAGACTGTAGAAACGTATTGCAGGAAAAATTGAATCTCTGATTAAATTTCTCTGAAGGAACATTTTCTGCTAATAAAATTCAAGGTTCTCTTCAGATTCTTCTAATTTTCTCAAAGGATTTTATAATGTTTGTTCGGCGAAGTGGGTTATCCTGAAAAAATCGCCCAAGGTTCGTTCGCTAATGTGAAGAAGCAGCGCGAGGTGCTTGATTTTTCCAAGTCTGATTACGATTCAGATCAGGCTGCTAGAATGTCCAGCCGGCGTGGCCCAGTGACATTCTTCTCTTCTTTGTCACGTAGCTCACATGACCCATTGCCCTCGACTGGCAATGACCACGACGTTCCCGTTTGCTTTTTATCGCGTTCGCGTTGATGCTACCAGCAGCGAAAATGTCGCTAGTCATTTTCACGCGTCTCGCAGAAAATCAACCCTCAAATTTCGCTATTATAGAAATAATACGAACTATACGCTAAGAACAATTTACAGAAATCATTTTCTTCGATATATTTTCAGAATGAAATTTCATCGAAATTCCGTACTTATTCACTGGAATATTTCTTAGAAAATAGGAAAAGGAATTTATGCACTGATAACAGAGAAACCGGTGCATTCATATGGTATTATACTTTCACTAAAGATATTTCAACGCGTTAACGCATCTTTCAAGCACGATATTAATATAAAAGCAACAGAACGACCGGTTCGAGCATACATTTCTCGATAAGAATCGCACGGCACAGATGTTAAACGTTTCAGACTTTCTCTGTGTGAAAATGTAACTAATGATCGAAATTAGAGGTGTATCTCTGTGAGAATATCTCTTACTCTTTATAGATAATGTTCATTCTTTGTTAAAACCTTCTAACTATCTTATAAAACTTCTCTGATGTTACTGTAGCAATTATTTCAGGAGAAATTGTTAAAGTTTAGTTTAAATCTCAGTGCAAGCCTTCAAATTTTTATGTGAAAGATTCTTTACAATTCACCCGAAAAGTAGATACAACAATTAAGCACAGAAGTCCATGAAATTAGAAGATAAAATTTACTTTCCCCACTTTCGTATCTACGATAGAGCAAACTTTAAAATTTCCCGCCAAAGAATTCTTGGAGCTCATTGAAAAAATAAACTGAAAAATTAAGCAGAAGAATTCGCGAAATAAGGAGATAACATTTTCCACAATTGCAAAATTCACGTTAATCTTTTCGTGATTTCGTTAAATAATCCAACTTTCACGACCACCAAAAATGACCGAAATCAATTATTCAGCTTTATTTCAGAACCGGAGAAAGGCAGGAAAAGTAACCATGGAATCCTGGTTGAGCGACGTGCAACGTGTGAGAATTCCACGGCCGAAATTCGGCAGCGGGAACTCAGTGAGGCGGTCCAATTCGACTGTGCAGCATGTGCGACCGGAAGTGCTCTCTAGGCAAACGCAAGACGTGGTGAAGGCCACGGAAGAGCTCCGACAGGCGCTCCAGGATAAGCTTTGACCAGCTGGTCGCCAATAAAGGACCACCGTAAACACATCGTGCAAACGCAACGAGTTCGAGGATCGTCGTTCTAGGATTCGACTCGCCTCATTGTCGAGTGTCCCTCTTCCATGCGGACCTTTACAGAGGATTAATCGTTTCGTGCACTCGTGACTCTTTACGTTTTCGTGTTTCCTCTTTTGCGAAATGGACAATATGGAGGAACGTTCTGAGATGCATGTATTGGAAGAGCGACGACGATGATGATGAACTGTGTTCGAGGAAAATTGAGTGCATTGGTATGTTTGCGGAAGTTGAAGATGTTGAGTGAACGAATGTAAAGTGCAGCGAAACGCTGGGGTTACTCGGATTCTTGAATGGACGTTGAATTTAATTTTGTGTACAGAGTGCTTAATTGGTTGATAGTGGATTACGACGATGAAAATTGTTGAAGATGTTGAAGTTGTTGAGTGAAAGTGCAAGGGAATGTTGGTTATTCAGATTTTTGAATGGATGTTCAATTTAATTTCGAACACTCGGAGTATCCACTTGGTTGATAATGGATCGTGAGTTAAAAATTGTTGACAAAGTTGAGGGAATGTGTCTAAAGCGCAATGGAATGTTGGTTACTTACATTCTTGAATGGATGTTGAATTTAATTTTGAGTACTCGGTGGATAATGGTAATTTGAAAATTGTTGAAGATGTTGAATGAATGTGTCCAAAGTGCAGTGGAATGTTGATTACTCAGATTTTAGAATGAACGTTGAATGCAATGTCGAGTACATAGTTCTATAAGTGGTTAATGTTGAATGATGATTAAAGAATTGAAGCTTGTTGATTCTAAAGTGTCTTATTTGAATAACCAGCACTTTGTTGCACATATGTGAAAATCAATGTGCGGAATGTGTATGTACGAGTCAGTATTAGGAATGAAATTCGTTTTCGAGACCGTGTACAGATCGCTAATAGCCGCTTTATCTCACGAATTCTGTATCAAAGACGAGCTTTCTCTTTATTCTCAATTCTTCTGTAATTTATACGAACAACCTGTGTTTCTTGTAATGTTAAAAAGAGACTGACAGAAAAATTCCTTTTGTTAATAACATAGAAACTGTCTACCAATCATTTGACCCCCATTCACGACCAAAATCTACCTCAAAGAAACTACAATAAAAAGGATGAAATAACTATTACGAAAAAGAATATTCCTTTCAAGAATTGCAAATACTCTGTGTGCCTTTGAACGACGAAAAAAATAGCGAAAGATAACTTGTCTTTTGTTAATACCACACAAAGAGTCTGTCAATCATTCGATTCACTTCTATCCATCACAAAAGCCTTCAAACCTAAAAAATCGGTATTACAAAAAAAGAAAAAATAAAGGACGAAGAACAAAATTGAACAATGTACAAAACAATCTGTGCTTTGTTTTAAATGCTAAACCTACAGTGAAACCTAAATTTCACCACAGAAACAACAGTACCTTCGCGAGTATCATCTCCGGAAAGAAAAAAAAAAGAAAATAAGAGAAAATAAACGAAAATCTGTGGAAAAAAAAAATTAGTTTACGACTTTCCTGTACCGAAAAAATCCACGATCTCAGGCTCCTCCTCAAGGATATCAAGCAGCTCGGTCAACGATCTCCCATCGCCAAGGCCGGCAAAAGTCCATCAACGTTAACCGCCGCGAAAATAGAGACATTTCGCGGCTGGATCGCGGCCTATCTGTGCGCCATGATCGATCGGGACTGGATAATTAATTCAGACCTGAAACACCTCCTTCGGAGGGATCTCGTCGAGCGGATACTGGCGCGCGTGTACGTGTGATATACGCGGCACGATGAACATCGATCGACCTGGCGTGATCAGCGTCCATAAATCGAGCCTGTTTCCAGATGGATCCGTAAGAAGATCCTTCTCGATCACGCTGGATCATCCACTTCAGCATCCGTGCCCCGTTCAACGTACGATTTCGTATCGATCACGCGAGAAGCGCGACATAATCGAAAACGTGACACGATAACATTGATTTATTCAATTTCTTCGCGGATTTCCTTTTTTCTTTTTTATACTGTGATGAAGTTACAGTAGAAGATAAAGATGGAATAAATATCCAACTGAGAAGACTGGTTTAGGATGATTTTATTTTTGGGGCGAATTTTTCCGTGAATCTAATTGTACAGTAAGCATACTTTTATTACTTAATAAAAATTCGGAAAAAATTGCAGTGTACAAAATAGATCGAATTCAGAAGACCTGTTGAAAAAGATTTATTCTTTTTCGAGAAATTTTTCTGATACTATTCTAATAATTATATCATATTTTTAAATTATAGCGTAAAATAAATATTGACTTGAGAAAATTAGTTTGGAAAACCTTCATCATTTTTGGAGAAATTTTTCTGTGAATCCAACATGATAGTGTCGTACTTTTGTTACTTGATAAAGATTACAAAAAATGGAGGAGACCAATTTAGAAAAATTTCATTTTTTTGGGAAGATTTTTTCCGCGAGACAAATAGCATAATACAACATTTTTGTTAAAGTTTAAAAAGAGAAACAGTCAGTCAAGAGTTCACAGTCAGTTCTAGCGCGTTGTTTGAAGCATTCCACGACGAATTTCAAAATGTCAACCCTCCCCCTTTGCTCGAAGGTAAATAGTAAGTTCAATTTAATTCACCTAGTACCTGGAGGTCGTTTACGAGCCTGCTGGACCGGTCGATACGCGCGACGACTCTCTTCTTCCACGGATTTATCGTTTCGTCTCGCGGAATGCCGGATTAACAGGGAGCAAAAAGCCAGAACGACGAGATTTTTCGGAAAAAGAAGCTGGCCATAATCGTTGAAGGGATTATAAAGTGAGCCACGATTATGTTACCTGATCAGACAACAGATTAATCCACCATTTGTTGAGCAGTTGCAAATTTTTACGACAGACGACAAGTAAGATAAAGTTCTCATTATCATCGTAGATTTTTTTAATAAATAAACGAATTATTGGACAACAGAAAATTGTAACATGAGCCAGGAAATACCTATACACTCTTATGTATAATCGATCACTTTCTGCATAGTTGCAAAATTCGAGATAAAATTTCCTTTATTGGACAAAAGGAATTATAAAGCGAGCCACGATATGAATATTCCTTTTTTACATTTAATCGATCATGTTTTGTATAGTTATAAATTGCTACGACAGATAAGGGATAAGATAAAATTTTCCTTACTGAGTAAATGAAAGATCGATCTTTCTTTTGAGAACAAAATTTCCAGGTATTGTTGAAGACGGAGAGTATCAAGCGAGAATGGAACTAAACGTTTCTAATCGAAGCACGCGGCTTGTGTTTCGAGACAGTCGCGACCTGGTGACTAATTAGGGTGGCTCGTTACTCGTAGCAGTTCCTTAATTGGTCGATTCTTGCGGGACGACAATCGAGTTAACGGTTTCTTGTTCATTTAAATGCCACGGTTCATTGACTCCTGTCAATCGTGCCTGTTTCACCGAAACTTTAGCGTGACTGAAGTGGCCCGAAAAACCAAAAAGAAAAAAAAAACAAAGTCTATTAATACCGTAAGAGAAACACAAAAAATAGTGAAGATAATTATACAACAAATTGAACGACGAAGAAAACTAAATGTTAAAATTGATCTCGTAAATTATACATAATTTCACATTTAAACTTTGCGAATTAATAAAAAAAAAGAACACCAATCTATTAATACCGTAAGAAAGACAAAAAAATATTCAAGATAATTGCACACTAAATTGAACGACGAAGAAATACTAAACATTAAAATTAATCTCGTCAGTTATACGTAATTTCACGTTTAGAATCTGTAAATTATCCAAAAAAAAAAACAGAAAAATGCCGATCTATTAACACCGTAGGGACCATACAAAGAAGATTCAAGATCGTAGCAGAAAGAATTGAACGTTGAAGGAAACTAAACGTCAAAATTGATCTCATAAATTATACGTAATTTCGCGTTTAAAATTTAACGTTTGCAGATAAGTATCCGAGGATACAGGAAAAATTGATTTAAAGACGCCACAGTAAAAAGCGGTAACAGAGAAAACCTAAAAGATTATTCGTAAGAAATTCGACGAGCAAGAAAGACACGAAAGAAAAATGAATGAGAATTGATCTGGTGATTTGTAAAAAAAATTTAATGCTTCTAGATGAGCGAGTGCTTGAACGATGTAACAAGAAGGAAAAGGAAAAAATTAACGCGTCGTGTGATTATTAGAGCCAGTCAATGGATTGAATCATCTCACTCGGACAGTTTAGCGGCAAGAGAGTCACAACGATTTTTTCGACGATTTTACGGGATATCATCCAGTCCGTACGCTCCATACGAATTTCACTATTATTTTTATTAAAGCCCGCAGAGATCGTTGGCTTCGAATACAAACACGGAGGGGGAGAAATTTCTCCGCTATCTCAATTATCCATTTGTTCTGCTCTCATGCGCATCGCATGCGCATCCTGTACCCTCCTTTTCTTGACATTATCAGACGCAAAATACTGCTCGCCATTAGCGCAAGACAATTTCAGTATAGTACCTGGCGGCGGTTCGTAACAACAAGCGCGCCACTCTCTAGCGCTTGCTAGTTAGATGAATTCCATAATGTATTGCGTAGAGAGGCATTGTTATAATACAGGTCCAGTGTACAAGTAGATTATAGCTGGCGACGGTGGTGAACGTACGGAACGTGTAAATTTTCAGGGGAATATTTCGCGTTACGGAGAACAAAGGATCGTGCTTGATTTGTACCTGTTCCTGTATTTCCTGCTGTTTTCTGCTCTAACGAGAGGCAAGCTCGTGTAGAAGGTTATCCCGTTAATATCTGTAATACTTTTCAGACATTTTCTACCAGTTTTATGTGATTAAAAATGTTTTCTAAAAGACCTGCTAATTTTAATTAAAAAGTACCTAACCTTTTTTTTTTTTTCAAGGTCTCGTATTATTCTGGTAGCATCTGCGATAGTTTTCAGGCACTTTTGCCGTTCTCAGTGGAAAAGAATTAAAAAGAAACATTTCAGATGATAAAATTAAAAGTTTTAATTTTTTTAAATTAACTCGTGTTCGTTTTAGGTACCCTGCGTTCTTTTTAAGTATTTACATTACATATTTTTGTCGTACTTGTGATCATTTTCAGGCACTTTTGTCGTTGTCGATGGAAGAAAATTAATAAAAAGGAACGTTTCAGACGATTAAAATTATTTTTCAGGGACTCTCGTTAATTTTAGGTACCCGCGTTCGTTTTCGGAGTACCTGTCGTAGTTTTCAGGTACCTATGCTATTCTTAAGTAAAATGTCGCTTTGATAAATGTTATTTTATAGCACGCGGAGGTTTTTCTTTTAGGTACCTGATTTATTTTAACAGTACCTGAAATATGTTTTAGACACTTGTGGTGTTTTTTAAAAATATTTATTAAACGGCTGCACGATTT